CTTTGTTGTCCAGACTGGAGTGTAGTGGCGCTATTTCGGCTCACCGTAACCTCAGCCTCCCAGGCTCAAGAGATTCTCCTGCCTCAGCCTCTCGAATAGCTAGGATTACAGGCGCACGCCACTACCGCCTGGCTATTTTTTGTATTTTTGGTAAAGACGGGGGTTTCACCATGTTGGCCAGGCTGTTCTTGAACTCCTGACCTCAAATGATCCACCCGCAATGATCTCCTGACCTTGTAATCTGCCCGCCTCGGCCTCCCAAAGTGCTGGGATTACAGGCGTGAGCCACCGCGCCAGGCCTATCCCTTAAAATAGTTTTTAATTTGAATAAGGTTTACTATGAATAAATAAATCGCGGTCTGCTTGAGCCCAAGACCACAGACATTCCTGGTGCCCGTTTTCGTGCTCTCCCAGCTTGCGCCACTGTGGCCCTGGCCCTTTAAGACTGCGCGCGAGGCCCCGCCTCGCCCGGCGCCCCGCCCCTCCCGCTGGATCCCGCAGCCGCGGCTCTTCCCGACGCGCCCCGCCTTCCCCAGCTGTGCGCTCTCAGTCCAGCTGTGCGCTCTCGTCGGGAGTCCCAGCCATGTCAGCCGAGAGAGAGGTAGCCGAGGCGGCCACTGTGGTGGCGGCCGCCGAGGCAGGGGCCGGGGAAGACGCCTCTTCGCCGCCTGCGAAAACCGAGAGAATGAGCGACCCCCAGCAGCCCGCGGCCTCCGAAGGGGCCGCCGCCGCCGCCTCGCCGCCGCCGCTGCGCTGCCTGGTGCTCACTGGCTTTGGAGGCTACGACAAGGTGAAGCTGCAGAGCCGGCCGGCCGCGCCTCCGGCCCCTGGGCCCGGCCAGCTGACGCTGCGCGTGCGGGCCTGCGGGCTCAACTTCGCAGACCTCATGGCCAGGCAGGGGCTGTACGACAGGCTCCCGCCGCTGCCTGTCACTCCAGGCATGGAGGGCGCGGGCGTCGTGATCGCAGTGGGCGAGGGTGTCAGCGACCGCAAGGTGAGCGGGTTTCGTAGGGCAGGGCAGGGCTGCGCAGGCCACGGGGCAGTGGGGCACGAGTGGGCGGGCGCCGGGGGTGTGGCAGGGCAGGAGAAACTGGCGCGGACCTGGGTGCACAAGCGTGGAAAGCGTAGCAAAGAAACTTGTGTTTTGGGGCTCCTGGAGAACGGCATTTATGTGGGGAGGGGAGGCGGAATTATCGCCCCTTCCCCAACCTTTTTTAGTTGCGGCCGCCGCCCAGAAGCTGTGCTGGTAGGGGGGGAAACAATAAGGCGCCCATGCGCATGCGCACAACGACACCACCGTCCCCACCCACCCCCGCCCCCCCGTTAAAACCACACCTGTACCCCTGCCCACCAAACACTCTCTGGGTAATTGTGGTCTGTGACTGTGAGTGACGGTTAGTACCCCTTTTTCCCGAGGGAGCTTGAGGGGCTATGTCGCCGGGGTTGGGCGGGGGCACAGCGGCCGTGCCAGAGTCCTGGTCACATGCAGCCCCGTGGTCTGTGGGGGTGTGAGGCGGCCCCTCCCAAAGCAAGGCAAGGCCAAGGAGACGAGACACGCCCGTGACGGAGAAGAGAGAGCCTTGCTCCCCCACCGCCACCAGACTTACACCGCCGATCTGGTTTTGGGGTGGGGGAGGCGGGATTGGGTCACCCGATCTTTGTCTTGGGCTCTGTGTCTCCCGTGACTGCAGTATCTCCTCCTCCTGTGACTCAGACATCGGGCCACGACCCGGGGCTGCCCTTGGGAACGCCTGGGGCGGGGCGTGTAGGGGGTACCCACCTCTGCCTTCCTCCTGCAGAGGACCCCCACTTCAGAAACCCCGGTGCCAGGGGTTTGGACTGGAACGGAGAGGTGTGGCGCCTTGAACTGGTTGGCCAAGTCTGCAGGCCTGTTTCTCCTCATTTATCATTAATCTCGGCCACAACCCTGGACACCGGAGAGCTCAAAATGATCAGCTTTTTGAGAGTCCTGGGATGAGGCCTCAGCACTCCATTTGTTTAGGGGTTCCTTTTTCTTTCTTTTTCTTTTTCTTTTTTTTTTTTTTTTTAGACGGAGTTTCCCTCTTGTTGCCATTGCACTTGTTGAGTGCAATGGCGCCATCTCGGCAACCTCTGCCTCCCGGGTTCAAGCGATTCTCCTGCCTTAGCCTCCCGAGTAGCTGGGATTACAGGCATGTGCCACCGCGCCTGGCTAATTTTGTATTTTTAGTAGAGATGGGTTTCCCCATGTTGGTCAGGATGGTCTCGAACTCCCGACCTCAGGTGATCTCCCCACCTTGGCCTCTCGAAGTGCTGGGGTTACAGACATGAGCCACCGCGCCTGGCCAGGGGTTTCTTTTTAAATCAGACCCCTCAGAAAGAGGCCCCTCAGATGTAGCCTCTTGCAGACCTGCCAGCCCCGGATTCCGGAGCCAGGTTTGTTGGATTCGGGAGCCAGGTTTGT